TATTCTTGCTATGTCGTGGCCCGCTGGTGCGTCTTGGCCTCCCAAAGTGCTGGAACTACAGGTGTGAGCCACTGCACCCGTCCTCATTTATTGCAATTTACAATTAGTTTTTTCTATTGTTTACTGCAGAATCCCAGCACCTAGCACAGTGCCATGCACAAAGTAAGTGCACAGATGCCCCAAATTCTTATATCAAGTTCCCTGGGAAACAGATATTGAAATGAATCTTTGCATCCAAGAAGTTTGCTGGGTAGTTTGGGAATAGCACCTGTGAAGGAACAAAAGAAAAAGCAGGACTTGGCTGGGCCTGGTGGCTCACGCCTGTAATCCCAACACTTTGGGAGGCCGAGACAAACAAAGAAACAAACAAAAACAACGAAAAAGAAAAAGAAAAAAGCAGCATGACTGGGCAGACAGAGAAGTTGAATTGTGATGTAGTTGCAGTGAAGGTCTCAGCTGATTTCCTAAGGAGCTCTGGAGCTGGAATGGCCCTTTAGAGTTGTCTTTAATAGAGAGAGAGGCAAGACGATTGGGCCTTTTATCCCCACATTTCTGGTTGTATCTGGGGTACTGTAACTTTGGGCTGGGATATGCGACTATTTACTAGAGATAGTTACTATTCTAAACGCTTGACTTATTTAATCCTCACAACACCTCGGTAAAATAGGTACTGTCATTATCCCTGGAGGATTCAAGGAGGAAAGTACTCTCTGAAAGTCAGATGAAAAGTCAACTTGCAAAAGGAAGATTAATACGTGAAAAGGCATACAAATTTATTTGATCACAATTTTACGTGACACAGGAATCTTCAGAATGGAGAACCAGGCGGGGCGTGGTGGCTCACACCTGTAATCCCAGCACTTTGGGAGGCCAAGGCAGGTGGATCACCTGAGATCAGGAGTTCGAGACCAGCCTGACCAATATGGTAAAACCACATCTCTACTAAGAATACAAAAATTAGCCAGGCGTGGTGGCGTGCGCCTGTTTTCCCAGCTACTTGGGAGGCTGAGACAGGAGAATTGCTTGAACCCGGGAGGCAGAAGTTGCACTGAGTGGAGATCATGCCACTGCACTCCAGACTGGGCGATAGAGTGAGACTCCATCTCAAAAAAACAAACAAAAAAAAGAATGAAGACCCGAAGATACAGAGGAAACTGTCCATTTTTATGCTTAGCTTCAGTAACGTATGGATAGCCATGTAGAGATATGACTGAACAAAAAGGGTGTGATCTAATTCAGTAGACTGAGTGGGGGAACCCAGAAAGGCCTGTCTGTCTAGAATCTCCTTGGCTTTGCTGAGCATGCATTGCATCTTTCTGGTTATAGGGCAGGACCTTCCCTGGAATGCGGGTCTTATGCCCTACAATCAAACAAGGTAGGTCAGAGAATTTATGAATAGCTTTGCATAGAAAAGAGGAGGAAACATTAGAGTAATAATTTTAGATTATATGGCTGACTTTGGAGAAAAGAGGTTCTTGTTTCTATGAGCTGCCTTGGGAAAGCGGGATTCTACTTTCTGTGACTAGCCTCGGGGGAAAATGAGACTGAGAGATGGAGAATAGGAGAAGGTCAGAGAAGAATTTTGCTTCTGATGTCTTCATTTTGGGGGTATTTCTGAGCCCCAACATCCCCATCTTACAGATGAAGGAGACTGAGGCATAGAAAGATCATAAAATTCACCCAAGGGCACAGAGGTAGTAGATGGCAGGGTTGGGCATTGAACCCAAAGGGTTTGACTCCAGAGTCTGTTCTTAATCATGTACTAGACTGTAGTGCCAAGTGTATATTATAAAATTGCAATTCTGAAGCTTATTCTTTAAAAAATCTGAACGTTATCCTCATTTCATAATGGTAATATCTAAAGGCAGCACACGTCACTATTTCTAACATTCGGATTAAAAAAAAAGTCTTCATCATGTTTCTTCTTAATGATTTGGTTGTTCTGTGAGATGGACAAGTAGATCCTCACTTCCATTGGCTGTATGCAATATCTCAATAAATGAAGCCAAATTGTTTCAGTGCAACTTTTTTTTTTTTTTTTTTTAATAGGATCTAACTCTGTTGCCCAGGCTGGAGTGCAGTGGCACAATTATAGCCCACCGGAGCCTCAACCTCCTAGGCTCAAGTGCTCTTCCCACCTCAGCCTCCAGAGTAGCTGGGACTACAGCGCATGCCACTATGCCTGGCTAATTTTTGTATTTTTTTTTTTTGTACAGACAGAATTTCTCCATGTTGCCCAGGCTGTTTATAAACTCCTGGGCTCAAGCAGTCTGCCTACCTCACCCTCCCCAAACGCTGGGATTACAGGCGTGGGCCACCACACCTAGCTAACTTTTTTTTTTTTTAAAGACAGGATCTTGCCCTGTTGCTCAGGCTGGAATGAAGTGGTGCAACCATGGCTCACTGCAGCCTTGACCTCCTGGGCTCAAGCACTCCTCCTACCTTGGCCTCCCAAAGTGCTGGGATTACAGGCATGATGCACTGTGTCCAGCCTTTTGGTGCAACTTTTAACCAGGTTTTCATGCTTTAGAGCAGAGGTCCAATCTTTTGGCTTCCCTGGGCCACACTGGAAGAAGAATTGTCTTCTGCCACACATAAAATACCCTAACACTAATATAGCTGATGAGCTAAAAAGAAATATTGCAAAAAAAAATCCCATAATATTTTTTAAAAGTTTATGAATTTTTGTTGGGCCACATTCAAAGCCATCTTAGGCTGCATGCAGCCTGTAGGCTGCAGGTTGGACAAACTTGCTTTAGAGTCTCTGGTCTGTCTGAGACATAACCATATGCTGTGAAATTCCCCTCTGTCTTAGTCAATGTTGTGCTGCTATAACAGAATAGCAGAGACTGGATAACTTATAAAGAAAATAAATTTATTTCTCACAGTTCTGAAGGCTGAGAAGTCTTCTTGTTGCAACATCTCATACTGGAAGGCAAGATGGGGAAAAATGCTGGAGAGAGAGAGCAAGACAGGTGCTGAACTAGTGGTCCTTTTATAAGGGAACCCACTCCTGTGATAATAAGCCCGCTCACGCAGTAATGGCATTAATCCTACTCATTCTGCCCTTATGGACTGATCACCTCTCACCAGGCCTCATCTGTCAACAATATTGCATTTGGGATTCAGTTTCCAATATATGGTTTTTGGGGACACAGTCAAACCATAGAACCCTACCTCAAATCACTGCAAAGATGCATATGTTCAGTCAGTGTGTTCTTAGGAGGTGCAAAATTTTGTGGATATGCATGCCTTTTCATGAGATTTTGTTTGCAGAATACACTGAAAGCATTGATTGTCTCTGCTTCTCAAAAATTCCAACTATTTGAAATAAATTTTATTTATTTATTTTTTTGAGATGGAGTCTCACTCTGTTACCCAAGCTGAAGTGCAGTTGTGAGATCTCATCTCACTGCAACCTCTGCCTCCCGGGTTCAAGCAATTCTCCTGCCTCAGCCTCCCGAGAAACTGGGACTACAGGTGACCACCACCATGCCTGGCTAATTTTTGTATTTTTTAGTAGAGATGGAGTTTCGCCATGTTGGCCAGGCTGGTCTTGAACTCCTGAGCTCAGGCAATCCACTCGCCTGAGCCTCCCAAAGTGCTGGGATTACAGGCATGAGCCACCATGCCTGGCCCCAAAATTTCAACTATTTAATAACAAATAAATCATAATGGGCCTGGTGCGGTGGCTCACATCTGTAATCCCAGTGCTTTGGGAGGCTGAGGTGGGATGATTGCTTGAGGCCATAAGTTCAAGAGCAGCCTGGGCAAAATAGCGACACTCCATCTTCACAAAAGATTTTTTTAATTAGCTGGGTATAATATCAGCTACTTCGGAGGCTGAGGAGGGAGGTTCACTCGAACCCTGGAGTTCAAGCAAGCTGTGAGCTGTCCTCCACCCTGGACAGCAGAGCAAGACCCTGTCTCTAAAAACAAACAAACAAAGAAACAAAAAGCCGTAATGTAAAAGGTTTTTCATTTAGGTTTACATACTTAGCCTCGAAGTCAGTTGTGATATAAATGTTTGAGTTTTTGCTCTGCTCTTGAGCTAGTCATGTGTCTTGGGAAAATCACTGTCATCCTTTTTACTTTCTTCTTTTTTCTTTTTTTTTTGAGACAGAGTCTCTCTCTGTCCCCCAGGCTGGAGTACAGTGGCACGATCTCAGCTCACTGTAAGCTCCACCTGCTGGGTTCACGCCATTCTCCTGCCTCAGCCTCCCAAATAGCTGGGACTACAGGTGCTTGCCACCACGCCTGGCTAATTTTTTGTATTTTCAGTCGAGACGGGGTTTCACCGTGTTAGCCAGGATGGTCTCGATCTCCTGACCTCATAATCCGCCTGCCTCAGCCTCCCAAAGTGCTGGGATTACAGGCATGAGCCACCAGGCACGGCCCACAGTCATCCATTTTAAATGAGTCACGGCCCACAGTCATCCATTTTAAATGAGAAACAAGGAACTCTAGTACATTCATGTTAATCACATGTATATTTTTTACTTTTAGGAATCTGACTTTCTTTGTCTTCTTGGAGTAAGTTACACATTTGACAATGAAGATAGTGAATTAAACAGTGATTATGGTGAAAATATATATCCTTTTGAAGAAGATAAAGATGAAAAATCTAGTATATATGAAGGTGATTTTCAGCTAGAACCTGGATTTTATGCAACTTACGAAAGTACTTTGTTTGAAGACCAATTTCCAGCATTAGACGCTCCTGAAGATGTCGGAAGTACCAGTGAATCAAAAAACTGGGAAGAAGCAGTTGTTGAAAGTGTGGAACAGGATCATATTCCAGAAGTGCATGTCCCACCATCTTCAGCTGTGCCTGGACTCAAAGAATGGTTTGGATTGAGAGGAGAACAAGCTGAAGAGAAGGCTTTTGAATCAGTTATTGAACCTGTACAAGAAAGCTCATTTCGAAGTAGAAAAATAGCAGTGGAAGATGAGAATGACCTAGAGGAATTAAACAATGGTGAGCCTCAAACAGAACATCAGCAAGAATCTGAATCAGAAATTGATTCAGTGCCAAAGACGCATTCTGAACTAGCATCTGAGTCAGAGCACGTTCCCAAACCTCAACCCACTGGTTGGTTTGGTGGTGGATTTACAAATTACTTAGGTTTTGGAGATGAGGATACAGGGCTTGAATTATTAGCTGAAGAAAGCAATTCACCACTACAAGATTTTCCCAATTCCATATCATCTGATAAAGAAGACACAGTTCCATGTACAGAAATATTAATAGAAAAAAAAGACACAATCACTAATGATAGCTTGAGTCTCGAGCCAAGTTGGTTTGATTTTGGTTTTGCTATGCTAGGCTTTGCATATGCCAAGGAAGACAAAATTATGTTAGATGACAGGAAAAATGAAGAAGATGGTGGGGCAGGTGAACATGAATACCCTCTAACAAATGAATTAGACCCTGAAAAAGAACAAGAAATAGAAATGATACAAATTATGGAAACAGAAGATCAAATAGACAAGAAACCAGTCTTAGAAAAAACAGATGAATCGGATGCCATACCATATTTGAAAAAGTTCTTGTATAATTTTGACAACCCTTGGAACTTCCAGAACACTCCAAAGGAAACGGAATTGCCATTTCCCAAACAGACACTGGATCAAAATAACGTAATTGAAAATGAAGAAACTGAAGAATTTTCCATTGATAATTATCCCACAGATAATACAAAAGTTATGATGTTCGAAAGTTCATACAATCCGTCAGGTTGGTATGAAAATATTTATATTAGAATTTATTTTATTTTTAAACATAATTTATTTTCAAAAGTGCAAATCAGATGAAAAAGTCCAGGAATCTGCCTTTTTAAAAATACTTAGCTCTTTCTTTTTTTTCTTTTTTTTTTTGAGACAGAGTTTCACTCTTGTTGCCCAGGCTGGAGTGTAATGGCGTGATCTCAGCTCACCACAACCTCCACCTACCAGGTCCTGGTTCAAGCAGTTCTCCTGCCTCAGCCTCCTGAGTAACTGGGATTATAGGCACACACCACCATACTCAGCTAATTTTTGTGTTTTTAGTAGAGACGGGCTTTCACCATGTTGGCCACGCTGGTCTCGAACTCCTGACCTCGTGATCCTCCCACCTCAGCCTCCCAAAGTGCTGTGATTACAGGCGTGAGTCACCATGCCGGGCTCAAAATGCTTAGCTCTTTCATCAATTTCTGGTTTACACTGGAATTTAGATCTTAATATTATAAAATAAAATCTCAACAGAAAAACAATGACTGGAGATCTAAAGATGTTCCAGGAAAGTCTTAAAGTATTTTACAATAAATTTTAATTTTTATTAAAATATTGTATGTAAATAGTTTAAAATTTGAAATAGTGCTAAGGTATTTTTTTTTTTTTCCCGACAATAGCAATGTCTGTTCCCTCCATCTACCTCCACTCCCACTGCTTTCCCAGAGACAATAATTTTCTTTTCTTGTTTTTAAAGCAGTATCTTTTTAGTATTTAAGAGTTTTCTAAATCTTTATACTGTTCTGCTTTGATTACCCTATTTTAGACAATGTCTATTGACTTTCTATTCTGGTAGGTGTGGGTTTTCTCATTCACATTCACTTTTTAGCAATAACACCTTCCCAATACAACTATATTTGAATGGTTTTCTTAGAAACCTAAGCTAAGAGAAACTTTTTTTTTGTTTTGTTTTTGAGACAGGGTCTCATTTTATCATCTAAGCTGGAGTGCAGTGGCATGATCTCAGGTCACCACAGCGTTGACCTCCTGGGCTCATGCAATTCTCTCACTTTTGCCCCCCAAGTAGTTGGGACTATGGGCACGTGCCACCACAACCGCTGATTTTTGCATATTTGTAGAAGCAGGGTTTCATTATATTGCCCATGCTGGTCTCGAACTCCTGAGCTCAAGCGATCTGCCCCACTCAGCCACCCAAACTGCTAGGATTACAGGTGTGAGCCATCGTGCCCGGCCAACTAAGGGAAACTTTAATTAAATAGTTTTGATTCCTAAATTAGATCTTATTCTAGGTCTGTAGTTTTGCTTTTCCTAAGAAGGACTATGATAACAAGAGTTTTCTTTTGTTTTTGTTCTGAGACAAGGTTTCACCCTGTCACCTACGCTGGAGTGCAGTGGTGTGATCACAGTTCACTGCAGCCTCAACCTCCAGGGCTCAACCTATCCCTTGACTTCAGCCTCCTGAGTAGCTGGGACGACAAGTGTGCACCACTACTAGACCCAGCTAATTTATTTTTATATGTTGTGGAGATGGAGTCTCCTTATGTTGTCCAGGCTGGTCCCAACTCCTAGGCTCAAGGGATCCTCCCGCTTCAGCCTCTCAAAGTGCTGGGAATACAGGCATGAGCTACTGTGCCCAGCTGATAACAAGGGTTTCCTTTAAGTGTCAATGTAATAAGAAAACTCAAGCAAAAAAAGGGAAAAAGTTTTCAACTTTCTCCCCCAAGTTCCTCAATTCTGAGAGTTCAACAGAGGGCAACAGAAGAGAGCAGAATATAAGATAATACTTTCAGATCTAGATGTCCAGGTATCTAGCAATTCCTATGATTAAAAACATGTGGATTGTTTTTTAAGTAGAACATTTTATAATATAACTTTTCCACATCTCCATCCTTATGACTCTGTGATGGACAGAATATAAATGCAGCAAATATTGAGCAATAATACAAAAACAATTAAACCCTAGAATGACAGAAAACCTTTCACAGGAAGAGGGCAACAAACTCAGAAGGAAACACATTTCCATTAGAACCAGGTGATTTTTTTGAATTTCCAGAACTATATGTAGTACCTTAACATTCCCTAAAATGGGAGCTCTCTACTCAACATCCTCAACCAACATATAGATATTTAGATTCTAACCCTTTTCCAAATGAGAAAGGTGCAGGTGTGATGCTTTTCATGACTAAAAAGCTTAGAGACCTTTTTAGGTTGTTAAAGACTAATTAAAAGGTAAATTCTCTTATTCTAAACTTGTTAGATCCTAAAGGAATATTTAAGAAAAGGCAGGTCACAGTAATTAGAAGGAAGACAGAGTACAACAAAACAATATTAGATACAGAAATCCAGATGATTCCAAAGATTGATATACAAAAATATTTTAGAGCACAATCATAGAAACTCCAGGAATTCAAAAGAATTTCACAAAAAAATCATTTTTGTAAATTTTATTTAGCTGGGAGTGTTGGTATGCTCCTATAGTCCCAGCTACTTGAAAGGCTGAGGTGGGAGATCGCTTGAGGCTAGATGTTCGAGGCTGGCCTGGACAACACAGTGACACTTTCTCTCTGAAGAAAATATTGGCGGGGTGTGGTGGCTCACACCTATAATCCCAGCACGTTGAGAAGCCGAGGCAGGCAGATTACTTGAGGTCAGGAGTTCGAGACCAGCCTAGCCAACATGATGAAACCCCGTCTCTACTAAAAATACAAAAATTAGCTGGGCATGGTGGTGTGCCCCTGTAATCCCAGCTACTCGGGAGGCTGAGGCATGAGAACCACTTGAACTCGGGAGGCAGAGGTTGCAGCGAGCTGAAATTGTAAAACTGCACTCCAGCCTGGGCAATAGAATGAGACTCAGTCTCATATATATATATATATATATATACACACACACATACACACACACACACACACACACACACACACATATAAATATTTAAAATTTATCATTTCATATAGAGATACTGGAAGAATTTCTAAAATTGGTAAATAGTTAAATGAGAATAGGATGTTGCTGCAATTTTAACTAGTTTTGAGGAACTTTTATGAAAATATTCAGAAATTCTTTTAAATTTCAGAAAAAAAAGATGTCATTTATTAACAAAGTGGGTTATTCCAAAACACTACAATATTAAATAAAAATGAAAAACAACCTGAGATCATGCAAAAATTTTTTTAAAAAAGCATCCTAAAAGATTTCTATAAAGCCACAGGCCCTATTTTCTGGATATTAGAGAAAGAATTAAACAGCAAATCTTTTCAGATTTCAACAACTCTTTCAGGGAATAACAAATGAAAACTTGCTGTAATTATAGTGCATAAGCAAGATGAATCACTGATCTTGAATCTATGTTTGTGAAAGGCTCAGACTTGAGATAACCACATTTACAGAAAACTAACATATTGATTTAGGAATTTACAAAACAGGTAAATTAGGGAACAATTATTTATATTACAACATGAATAACGATTTTACAAAAGGATTCCAATTGTGCATACTTAAATAATGAGTTTCCCAAGTACAGTTAAATATTAAAAATTATTATTTTATTTGACTTAAAATTCTGCTAATAAGCAATAATAAAGAAAAGCATATCCATATTTAGTGTAAATCTTAAAGCTTAGGTTTAATTGTGTAAATAATACCTAAAAATATAATTAAATATGAAAATGGAATAGGGAATATTCATTTTTCTTATTATATATTTATTTCAAATGCAGTTTAAAACAATATTTTAAAATAATATAGTTATGTATAAATTTGAGTATATTTATTGAATAATCCTTTTATTCTCATAGTATTAAACGTTATTGCAGATCACTACTTGATTCCTGTATGTACAATAATCCCTTTGAATTCAGACTCCTGATTTGAATGCTTTTAAGTATTATTATCCACAGGTGCTATTATTAAATTACTGATACGTGTTTGCTCAATTGGGACTTTCCTCTTTTAAACAATGATAAATAAATGACAGTGTCAAAGTGCTATGTTAAGACTCATAAGCTCAAAGAGCAAAATTAGACATTGAACAATTCACTTACTACTCTTTATTATTGTTTTTCAGGACCACACTGATACTTTTTTTAGACATTACACCTTCTGGTTAACAAATGCATACATAGCAGGCATAAAATCTGAAGGGAATCTATGTGTTGCCTTATTCTTAGTCATATGCTTATATAGTACAACAGAATTGTTGACAGTTATGTTAGTTTTAGGGTTTTTTTTTAAAGTAATTTTTAGGACAAAAAGGCATGTAGAGAATAGAATTACATATAGCTTTTGTAATTCTTCCTTGGCTGAGGAATAAAGAAAAGGCTATGTAGTAGGCTGAATAAAAGCCCCCTAAAAGATGTCTGTATCTTAACCCCCAGACTCTGAGAATATATTACTTTACATGGTGGAAAGGACCTTGCAAATGTGATTAGGGACCTTGAAATGGAGAGATTATCCTTGTGTGTCTAATATAATTACAAGGCTCCTTATAAGAGGAATGTAAGTGTATCAGAGTAAGAGAGACAGAAATTAGAAGATGCTACACTGCTGGCTTTGAAAATGGAGGGTGGGGCCATGTGTCAAGGAATGCAGGAGGCCTCTAGAAAGTAGAAAAAGCAAGGAAATGGATTCTGCCCTAGAGTCTCCTGATGGAATGCAGCCTTGCCAACTTCAACACCTTGGTTTTAGAATTTCTGACTTTCAGAACTCTAAGAGGATACATTTGCATTGTTTAAACCACCAAGTTTTGGTAATTTATCTTACTAGCAATAGAAAGGTAACACAGGATACAATTTATGTTTTGGTGTATCCTTTCTTTAACGAAGTATCATAATGACCTACAAAAGTTCAGAAAAAAGACCTGCCTAGAAAACAAAAGGGGAGCCCTCAATAAAGCAAGTATTTGGGAAAAACACATTTCTTTTTATTTATTTGTAGATATGGTCTCTAATATAGAGTTACCTATGAGAATTCACGAAGAAGTACATTTCAAACCCTCATCTTCTAAAGATAGTGATGAAAATTCAAAACCATCAGTAGACACTGAAGGGCCTGCTCTGGTTGAGATAGACAGATCTGTGGAAAATACCCTGCTAAATAATCAGATGGTTTCAACTGATAATTCTTTGTCTTCTCAAAATTATATTTCTCAAAAAGGTAAGAAGCAGGTTATTTATTCTCCAATGCATCAATTAAGGAAGAAATTAGAATCAGAAGTTATATAATATCATGTTAACATATTTTTATTTATAAATCAACAGAAGATGCTTCTGAGTTTCAGATTCTGAAATACTTATTCCAAATTGATGGTTATGATTTCATGAATTCTGCATTTTCATCCATTGTAATTCTTACAGAAAGGGTAAGTTTGCCTTTTAAACCTTTTGCAATAATTTTACCTATTTTGCTAAATATAAGAGTGGCTACAAAATATGTTTGAGTGAATCCTCCCTGTATAATGTTTATGTAATGTTTCTCTTTCCATGACATCTTACCTGTAAGATTTCTGTTTATATGAATGCTTTGTCAAATGGATATTGATTTTTAAAAACATTTCCCTAAGCTTTGTTGATGTTGACCTTGAGCAGTGTTTGCTTTTTACCTCACCCTCCCCATTTTTCAAATTAGGGAAAATTATGTACACAATAAGTTAACTCAGGAATAATAGGAACTGGAGCTGGGTATGGTGGCGTGTGTCTGGAGTTCCCACTACTTAGGAGGCTGAGGCAGGAAGAGCCTTTGACTGAATGTAACAAAGAGAATAAAAGGGAAGAGTGAGCCCAAGGGTTTGAGACCAGTCTGGGCAACGTAGCTAGACCTTATTTCTTTAAAAAAAAAAAAAAAAAACCGAAAATGAAAAGCAACTTGTTTGTATTCAATTGAGAGTTGTAACCTCAAAATGGTATAACGTAGGAGTACAAAAGCAACTAAAATATCAAAATTTAACCAAACTGTAACTGAAATTCCAAATTCTATTCACTTTTTCACTTGTTGTAAATTTTACTATTAAATGAGATATTGCAAAAGGACTAGCTGTAGTACTTGGCATGTAAGAGGCCTTTTACAAATGTTGCTTTTCTCATCTATTGCTATGATAGAAATAATTGAGGAAGGGCTTTTATCTTCTTATTTATATTCTAAGCTGAAATTAATAGTGGTTGTTTTCAAGGAGCTCACTCTAGTTGGAGGACACATATAAAAAAGTAATAATTTTAATATAGTCCTATAATAGTCACAGGGTGCTACTGATATGCAGGAGTAGCTGCCTAGTAGATTGATTGGGAGGGTTAGGTAGAGAGGGTGGGGAGAAGGAGCCTGGGAGAGTGTCCCAGAGAAGATCATATTTGAGCTGATTTTGAAGGAAGAGTAGGAGTTAGCCAGACAAAGAAAGGATAGGCATTGTAGGTTGAGAAGAGCACTTTTAAAGTAGTGAAGTGGGAGGGAATATGGCACTTTTGGAGCACAATAAGCAATTGAGTTTGAACATAGATTGAAGTTGAAGAAGTACAGAGAGGTCAAATAATAGGGAGTTCAACTCCATCTTATAGATGATGGGACACTATTGAATTTTAAGCAGGGAGTAAAATGAAAAAGTTTTATTTATAAAGTCTGTCAATGCTGTCAAATAAAGATTAAAGGAGTAAAGACCAAAGGCATGGAGTTCAGTCAAGAAGCTGTTGTGTTAGTTCTGAAAATGAGGAAAAGGCGAAAATCTAAATCAGCGTTTACTAACTCAAATGAAATGAGTGAAGCATGGGTAAAGGTGAGAACTGTAGCCAACTAGAGATTGTATGCTCTGTCTAAAGGCTAAAGGTACTACTTACCTTCAGCCTCATTTCCCCAGATACTCTGATTTTCAAGAAAAGCTGGAAATCTGGATTTTTGTGTGTGAAATCTCGCAGTTTTTAATACTGGCAAATATTCAGAGTAAAATAAAACATAATGCAGGTCAGAAAAAACATTCTGTGAGTGGGATTTGGCCCACTGGCCACATTTTTTAGCCTCTGGCCTACCATCGATGGTTGTAGTCGAAATGATTGGAAGGACAAATTGGATAGATCTTTTGTAGACAGAATCATTGGATTTAATGACTGACTGAATGCAGCATGGAGAATTACAAGGAAAAGTGAGGATACCAGGTTTCGAGCTCGGGGACCTGATAACTTATGAGGTTTCTAGCTTGGGGGACCCATTAGATGGTGGTGCCACTGAGTCTTAGTGAAAACTGGGCTTAATAACATACATCATTTTGCTTTGGGAGGCCTCTTCCTCACTTAATTTTTTTTTTTGCTTGGTTCAAGAGAGTTGACATTACGTGATAAATAAGTCCAGAGAAATCATTAATTTATTCTGTATGATTTGGTGTTGAAGATGTTGATTATAAAACATTAGTTAGGCCGGGCATGGTGGCTCCACTTTGGGAGGCCAAAGTGGGCCGATCACTTGAGGTCAGGAGTTCAAGGCCAACCTGGCCAACGTGGTGAAAACTCGTCTCTACAAAAAATACAAAAATTAGCTGGGGGTGGTGGCGCGTGTCTATAATCCCAGCTACTTGGAAGGCTGAGACACGAGAATTGCTTGAACCTGGGAAGCAGAGGTTGCAGTGAGCCAAGATCGTGCCACTGCACTCCAGCCTGGGCCATAGAGTGAGACTCTGTCTCAAACAAACAAACAAACAAACAAAACAAAACCAGAAGAAGTTAGTTAGAAATCTGTCCCAGGTTAGGAGAAAAAAAAAACTAATAATAATGATAATTACAAAATAGTCCATAATAAAACTTTCAACTCCCCATGGAATTAATTATATTTTTTGGTATGTCTTGCTGACATAACCCTCCCCTTTTAACCCCCTCCTCCACCAATTATATGAAGTTAAATAATTGAACAGATAATTTGCTAATCAATACATGATATTCACTTCTCTATAAAGTGCTTGTTTAATAAAGTCTATACTAAATATGCTTTTTTTTGGACTCAGTAAACATAGTTAAATACATTTTACTTGGATCATTTTGGATGAAATTATTTAGACATGAAAATATTGAATTTACATTTATGTTAATTATCTTGTGATCTTGGAAAGTCACTTATTGTCTGGGAAGGAGTCCCAGTTTGAAAACTCCAGTATCAGAGCTGAGATGAGATCACAGGCTGCTGGTCAAAACTGGCTTTGTATTGTCTAAGAAAATTATGAATGAGTTGTCAGCATTTAAAAGGTGAGCTCATATTAAAATCGGAATTTCTGGGTTCTCTTGAAAAAGAAGACTGTGATATATAGCTGTCAATTTTTCTTGAGCAAAAAGAAACTCAAGTTGGTTAGTGCTTGCTTACATAGACATCGACTCTCCATTTTCCTACATTTATGTCAACTGCTTGGTCTCTACAGGGCTTTAAGTTCATAATCTTCAGACTAAATATTCTGAGAGTTCCTGCTAGATCTAGGATTCTAACAATCTGAATGTATCTATGAAGCACCCATAATATAGATTTGAATAGCTGTAGTAAATGGAAAATTTGAGCAATTTTCCAGTTACATTTAGGTGAAAGGCTTCCTTGTCTTCTTGTCTAAATACTTCAGGTAATTCTTCCAATTCAATGGTAGTTTCAGGTAGATTTTGTGCAGAACATACTTTCTTTGTAATGTTCAAGTACTAGGGATCAACACTACATTTTTCTTTTGAAAATTAAAATGATAGTTCTTAAATGATTCCATCACGTCAAAAGCAATGGGAAATTAAATGAGGCAGTTTTTTAAAAATATAACAAAAAAATTATGAGAAAGCAAAAGGTTTTGGAAAAAAATGATTTTTAAGTTTAAAGATTCCAAAAATGTGAAGAAATTGGAATCAGCACTACTGAAAACTGAATAAGTGTTTTGAAAGTTCAAATATAGAAACTATCTAAAAAAGAAAAACATAAATAGAAATTATGAGTAAAAAGAGAAAATATATAACAAGCCAGGAGACTTATGCCAAGAATAGAATTTCCAGAAAGAGAGAAGGCAAATGAAGAGAAGGAAGCAATAATTCAAGAAATTTTAGAAAGAAAACTTATCTGAGCTTTAAAAGTAATCAAGTTGGTTTTGAGTGAGATTCTTAATCCTGAGTTCTAATTCGATTGCACTGTGATCTGAGAGACTGTTATGATTTCCATTCTTTTGCAGTTGTTGAGGAGTGTTTCACTTCCAATTATGTGGTCGATTTTAGAATAAGTGCTGTGTGTCATTGAGAAAAATGTATATTCTGTTGATTTGGGGTGGAGAGTTCTGTAGATGTCTATTAGGTCTGCTTGGTACAGAGCTGAGTTCAAGTCCTGAATATCCTTGTTAATTTTCTGTCTCGTTGATCTGTCATAATATTGACAGTGGGGTGTCAAAGTCTCCCAATATTATTGTGTGGGAGTCTTAGAGACTTTGTTGGTCTCTAAGAACTTGCTTTATGAATCTGAGTGGGTGCATACATATTTAGGATAGTTAGCTCTTTATGTAATGCCCTTCTTTGTCTTTTTTGATCTTTGTTGGTTTCAAGTCTGTTTTATCAGAGACTAGGATTGCAACTCCTGCTTTTTTTTGCTTTCCATTTGCTTGGTAAGTCTTCCTCCATCCCTTTATTTTGAGCCTATGTGTGTCTTTGCACGTGAGATGGGTCTCCTGAATACAGCACACCAACAGGTCTTGACTCTTTATCCAATTTGCCATTCTGTGTCTTTTAATTGGGGCATTTAGCCCATTTACATTTAAGGTTAATATTGTTATGTGTGAATCTGATCCTGTTGTCATGATGCTAGCTGGTTATTTTGCCCATTAGTTGATGCAGTTTCTTCATCATGTCAATGGTCTTTACATTTTGGTGTGTTTTTGCAGTGGCTGGTACTGGTTTTTCCTTTCCATATTCAGTGCCTCCTTCAGGAGCCCTTGTAAGGCAGGCCTGGTGGTGCCAAAATCCCTCAGCACTTGCTTGTCTGTAAAGGATTTTATTATTCTTCACTTAGGAAGCTTAGTTTGGCTGGATATGAAATTCTGGGTTGAAAATTCTTTTCTTTAAGAATGTTGAATATTGGTCCCCACTCTGTTCTGGCTTGTAGGGTTTCTGCAGAGAGATCTGCTGTTAGTTTGATGGGCTTCCCTTTGTAGGTAACCTGACCTTTCTCTCTGGCTGTCCTTAACATTTTTTCCTTCATTTCAACCTTGGTGAATCTGATGATTATGTGTCTTGGGGTTGCTCTTCTTGAGGAATATCTTAGTGGTGTTCTCTGCATTTCTTGAATTTGAATGTTGGCCTGCCTTGCTAGGTTGGGGAAGTTCTCCTGGATAATATCTGGAAGTGTGTTTTCCAACTTGGTTCCATTCTCCCCATCACTTTC